TCGACGGGCTCAGGGGAGCAAGCCACACTGCCCTTCAGAGCCTCTTTCTCTGCATCGATTAGCTCAGCTATTTCCAACCAACACGCCACAAGATGGTGTAAAATATTCGATACCTGACCATCTAGTCAGGGACACTGACCTCTTTTCCCTTTCAAAAAAATGACAACAGCCAATACAACAATAGCTGACCCATGTGAATGAATCAAAATTATATCTTTTTTTTTTTTTGGTGTGCTGTAGAATTTTAGTAATTAGTTTGTGTCCCATGAGATGAAAAAGATTGAAAATCACAATTATTAGATAATAATAACAACAACAACAATAGTCTCCCAATGCCTCCAGCATCATTCTTGGCACTTGGGCATCACAAGCCTGCTTCTTGGCTGCATCTGAGAGGAGGTAGAGGAAAGAGCTAGCCCGCTCTGCTTTTGCAGAGGGACTCAGCAGTGGGGATGAGAACTGGCATTTCCTTCTTACTGTGACAACAGACAGTGTTTTTCCAAAAGGAGATTGGGGTGGGGTTGGCTGCTTTAGGAGTTCAGGAAATGCCTGCCTCAAACATGCCATTGTTGTAGGTGTGATCCTAGGTCAGGGCTTATACAAGAATCAACCAAATGCTGAAACCACTTTGGTTCAATGGGTAGAGCGTCGGCCTGAGGACTCAAGGGTCCCAGGTTCGATTCCAGTCAAGGGCATGTACTTTGGTTGCGGGCACATCCCCAGTGGGCGGTGTGCAGGAGACAGCTGATCGATGTTTCTAACTCTCTATCCCTCTCCCTTCCTCTCTGTAAAAAATCAATAAAATATATATATATTTTAAAAAATCAATCAATGAATACATAAGTGGAACAACAAATTGCTGTTTCTTTTTAAAATATATATATTTTATTGATTTTTTACAGAGAGGAAGGAAGAGAGCTAGAAACGTCCAATGAGAAAGAAACATCGACCAGCTGCCTCCTGCACACCCCCTACCAGGGATGTGCTCGCAACCAATGTACATGCCCCTGACCGGAATCGAACCTGGGACCCCCTAGTCCGCAGACCAACGCTCTACCACTGAGCCAAACCGGTTTCGGCTCGCTGTTTCTTCATCTCTCTTCTCCTCCCCTCTCTCTAAAATCAATCAATTTTTTAAAATTAAATAATTTTGTATAACTTTTCTCCTATGAATCTGCCTGTTGTCAGTTTATTTCACAAACTCAAATATTGAACCTGGAAAGGTAGTGCCAGCAAGTTTTTCCTTCCTTACAGTGTGGGTGGCCCAAACATCAATTGCCCTATGTACCCCACTTTCTGCCAATCGCATATCCCCGTGTCCCAGCTTAGATTTGCTTCCCACTTAGCAGAAAGCAGATATAATTGAGAAAGAAAGCAACTCAATTCCCTGGGAAGGTACCTCAAGGCCTGATGTTTCTCCTCTAGCTTTCTTATATTCCTTTCTCAGTAATCTGCACTGCATGACTAAATGGTGGAGTTACTCTCCTTAGATGATTACCTAGAGACAATAACAAGGGAAAGGGAAAGTATTTAAAATATGTAAATATATATTTTGAGGAAGGAAGTTCAAATAGAGACTATCATCCTCAACTCCATAACCCATTCTAAGGCTGTTCTTGTATTTATGACTTTTCTTCTTCACTCTTTTTCCAGGTTTCTTCTGCCCTCAGTCAGAACAGATGGTCAAGTCCGTGGCCCACGGAATAGTTCCAGCCCTTGAGAGAGATGTGCCCTGGGAGGTGCTCTCATATACAATCGCAGTAGTTTTGTGACAGGGTTTGTAGTAGGGACAGGATCACAGTTGAGTCTATCACTAAGCCTCGCTAATCCTATGGTAACAACTTATTTCCTTTTTCCTCTTGATAGCTAGAGGTTGTTTTTTTTTGTTTGTTTGTTTTTATTTTAAAACATCAATCAGCTGCTTCCTGCACACTTCCTACTGGGGACTCTATCCACTGAGCCAAATTGGTTTTGGCAATAGCCAGAGGTGTTTTTTGTTTGTTTTTTTTTAAAATATATTTTATTGATTTTGTACAGAGAGGAAGGGAGAGAGATAGAGAGTTAGAAACATCGATGAGAGATAGACATCGATCAGCTGCCTCTTGCACACCCCCTACTGGGGACAGCTGCCTCTTGCACACCCCCTACTGGGGATATGCCCGCAACCAAGGTAGATGCCCTTGACCGGAATCGAACCCAGGACCTTTCAATCCCCAAGCCGACGCTCTATCCATTGAGCCAAACCGGTCTTGGCAATAGCCAGAGTTTTTAACCTCAGATAATACCTTGATTTCTTTTTTAAAATATATTTTATTGATTTTTTTTTACAGAGAGGAAGGGAGAGGGATAGAGTTAGAAACATCGATCAGCTGCCTCCTGTACACCCCCTACTGGGGATGTGCCCGCAGCCAAGGTACATGCCCTTGACCGGAATGGAACCTTCAGTCCACAGGCTGACACTCTACCAGGCATCTTCAAACTACGGCCCGCGGGCCACATGCGGCCCGCAGAGGAGTCTGATCCGGCCCGCCAGGTTTTTTGGGCAGTGAGCGCAGCCGAGGTGTTACAGTAGGAATTAGTAGTTCATATAGTCCGGCCCTCCAGCTCTCTGAGGGACCGTGATCTGGCCCCCACTTTAAAAAGTTTGAAGACGCCTGCCACTGAGCCAAACCGGTTAGGGCAATACCTTGATTTCTTTTTTCACTTTCTGTTCAGCAGCAGGAAATATTCAAAATGGTTGAGTGGTAAGTTCAACAGTTCAGTTTAGTGGGAAATTTGTATCCACTTGGTGGAGGCATTCCTTTCTTAGACACTAAAAGCTTTTAGCATTCTTCCCCTCCCTATAGCCATGGGACTAAGAAGCAAGTGATTTTTGAGCGAGTCAACAAGTTATTGTAGCCCTAGCTGGTTTGGCTCAGTGGATAGAGCGTCAGTCTGTAGACTGAAGGGTCCCTCTCCCTTCCTCCCTGTAAAAAAATCAATAAAATATGTATTTTTTTAAAAGTTATTTTAAGTGGAGCCACCCTTTTTACATCTAGCTCTAGCCCCTTGGTTCTTGAACTATGTAACATCTGGCTAAAGGAGAAACAGCACACGGGTTGAGAGCATTACTGCTTCCTGTAGATGGCTCTCTGTCTCATGGACGGGACCTTGTCTGGGCCTTCTGTAGACTTTGCCACCATTTTAGAAGGCTGGCTAATGGAGTACACGGTAAGGCCAGTGAATCCCGTGGGTGTCAGCTCAGTGTCTCACTTCTTTATTGTGAAATGACTTCCACGATCAAAACAATGTTGTGTGGGATACCAAGACGGTTGATTAAGTGCACACGTGGAGGTTCTGGTGGAGGCATGCAAGGCAAGGAAGGCAAATCTAAATGCAGAGTAAGCAACTCTTCTCGTGTGACAAAATCCTGTCTCCATCGTGAGGGACACGATCCTATGCAATCAATCTGCCTCTAGATAATCGGCTGGTGCTTTCAGGGGTTCAGGGCTGGTTGCTGCTGCGGGCAAACGGGGTGTCAGTAGTGGTGTTGGCAGCATGGCTTTGGTGAGGGATGTCCTTGTTCCTCACCCCTGTCACCATGGTCCTTTGTCCACGAGCCCATTGACAAGTCGGGGGCCCATTCTGAGCATTCACATGGCATACCTGCTGTCTCACCATGTGGGAGCATTCTAGGGAACCCGTCTTTCCCAACCCTCTTTGTTGCGAACTTTTAATCTTTCTCTCTGAGCTGCTCAAATCATTAGTCACTGACTGAAACGGTATAGATCTTGACCTCAGGACAATGAGTTGTACTGCTTACAGTTCTGCCTGCAGTTGTAATTAGTTAAGATGGCTTTTGTGCTGGAGGAGAGTGAACCCCTAAACCAGTATGACTGAAGTCCTTTAAAAAAGGGGAAATCTGAACACACACACTCATGGAAAATGGCATGTGGACATGAATATGATCATCTACAAACCAAGGAGAGAGGCCAGGAACAGATCCTTCATAGCCCTCACAAGGAACCAACACTGACAACACCTTGATTTTGGACTTCCAGCCTCCAGAATTGCGAGACAATACATTTCTGTCGTTTACGCTAGCTTGTGATACATCCCTACAGCAAGCCCTAGCAAACGAATACACCCCTCGTTAGTACTAAGTTCCCTGAGAGCAGCAACCTGGTTTGTCTTCCTCACAGCCTGTACAATTACTTAGCACCTCGTACCACTATTTAAAAATATGTTTTTATTGATTTCAGAGAGAGGGTGAGAGTTAGAAACGTCAGTGACGAGAGAGAATCGTTGATTCGCTGCAGCCTGCAAGCCCCCTAGTGGGGATAGAGCCGCTGCAACCCGGGCACGCCCCCGCCGTGACCTCCTTGTGCACGGGTCAGCGCTCAACCACTGAGCATACCGCCGGGCTCGTACCACTATGTGAGTGTTTCACTCGTGTATGTGAACCTGAAAGCCTTTCCAGGGAAGAGAGTGCTGCTAGTATTCAGTCAAAACCTGTTGAGCAGATTAAACCATTGCACTCATTTCCAAATTTTTTTTGTGGTGCATGGATAAGTCATAGCTCCTGCTCCCTAGGTTGCATTAATATGCATGACGCGCTTTTAGCTCTCCGGACAAAGAGATCAATACTTCGCAGGTCCCTCGAGTGGGACTCAGAAGCCCGAACGAAGCTCCAGCCTTTTACAAGCGCTGGTTCTTGCCCCTTTGGGCATCTTGGTACTTGTAGTTTTGTCCACTGTATCTTTCCCCGAAAAACCAACGCTGAGACCACAACTCCCATCACCCCACGAGCCCCGGAGCCTTCAGTGCGCAGCCTCCGGAGAGAGCGCCCCGCCATTGGCCAACTGGCTGGGAGAAGACCCACCTTCCCGAGCCCAGCCACGTCCACGATTGGTCGGCTGCCCTGCTTCTCATCGAAGGAGGCGACAAGTGAATGAAAGCGGGGGGCGTGTCTGTGTGCGTAGCTCGGTGGCGGTGCTGGTGGAACCCACTGGAAGGTGAGATCCGAGAAGCGGGGTCACGCCGCCGCTTTCATTGGCTTGGGACACCCCGAAGGTCGGCCCTGACCGGGGGTCAGCGGGCAAGGGAGCCCCATTTCGGTCGGCCTCCCTCCGGCCGCCCGGCCCTGGCGACTCCGGGGATCCCCGCCGCGCAAACCCGTGCTGGGTGACCGACTCCCATCCAGCCTCCCCTGGGGTGGGGAGGGGAGGGGGGTCCTGGCGGCAGATCCCTCTCCCTCCCTAGATGCGGGCTGTCCCCCGCGTGGTCCCCCGGGCGGTGGGGCGTCGGTCCGCCCGGAGGTTGCGGGGCGCTCGGCTGCGCTCGCCGCAGCGCTGGTCACTTTGTCCGCGGAGGCCACGGGAGGGGCCGGGCCTCGCTCCCCACCCTCCGGCCGAAGACAGAGTCCATTAACTAGTTCCGGTCGTCTGGCCCTGGCCGGGGAGGATCCCCTGGTGCTGCGAACAATGTAGCAGGTGAACCCAAGATCCCACTGACCCTGAAATTCTTTCTGTGCAAATGGAAACTTCTTCCTCGTCGGTCTCCTCCGCTCCATGCGTCGCGGGGGGGAAGGAGTGACTTCCCGAGCCTCCTCATTGTGTGCCGGACGGGGCTGTGGGGATTCAGGGTGGCTCTGTTAGGAATGTCAACTCCGGGATCTCACCGACCTCAGTCCCAGTCCGGGCTTTGGGCGTGCTGTCTGTAAATCTGAACGGAAATGTTCTCTGAAAAAAGAGGCTGTGAGGAGGTGGCTGCCGCACCGGGTGGTTGTAAGGTTAAAAAATCAACCCGTGTGTGTAAAGTACTTTGTACGGTGCCTCCTCGTGAGAGGCAGTGCTCGGGGAATGCTAACAACTGACGAGCAGGTTTTTATGATTCTCAGGTCAGTGAACCTGGAGGAGTCTGTCAGAGTCAGTGGTTGGAGTTGAAGGCTGCTTTGGGTGCCTGCATGAAGACAGTCCTGTGACCTGGCTAGGTAGAATCCCCTCAGGGGACGGTGGGGGGTTACTGCAGGCTGCGGTGTTGGCATCTGCCCTCTCCCGAAGGACTGGCCCTAGGGAGTGCTAGATTCATTTTCATGTTCCTGGAATCTTCCTGGTGTCAGACGTTGTTGATAAGTTGCTAGCTACAGTGGGAAGGTTGGCAGGGTCCCTGCCAGAGTGTGGGTCAATGTGCTTCTGCCAGCACTGCACCCCAAGAGCTGCTTTCCCTGGAGAAGGGGGGGTGGGGGCGGGGCTCAGCATGCCCCAGGGATGCAGAGCACCAACGACCAGTCAGATTAATGTGAACAAATGTTTCACGTTCTATGCCAAATGCAGGTCTGAGGAAAGGTTTGAAGGAAGTATGTGGCTAGACTTTTGCATGGGAATGTTTGCATGAGCCAATAGAATTTAGAGTATTTGTGGAGAGAATGCCAAAGCAAATGGGTTTGGGGTACTGTTGTTGAAAAGGTGCATCTTCCAGTGGAAAAATTGGAAGTGCCTGGGAGGAGGCCCTGTAGATGAGACCATTCTACACGTTCAGAAGTATTGTGCTGTTTAGATATTTACCTTTCTGGTGTGCCAACTGCTTACCCCTTTGCTCCTCCTTTCTTTGTTAAAAAATAAAAATAAAAGTAATACAGGTATATAGTGGAACATGCTAGCAGTACAGAGATTGCAAAGGAAAAGGGAAGGTCCCTCCATACATCTCTTAACCATAGTCCCTCTCTTCGAAGGCATCTGCTGTTAACTCTTGCCTATATAACCTTCCAGAAAAAAATGTATGCATGTATCAGCAAAACCATATACACAGACGGGATCAGACTGTACTGTTTGCATCCTGTCTTTTTCTCTTTTACTGTGTCTTACTGGCCTTTTCCACATAAAAACACACAACGCTAGCTCATTAAAAGCATGGTTGCACCATGCTGAGCGGCTTGGTTAGTTGGAGTCTGTTGTGGGTTGATTCTCAGTCAGGGCACGTACATAGGTTGCAGGTTCAATCCCCGGTTGGGGCGTGTGTGGGAGGCAGCAGATCAATGTTTCTCTCATATCTATGTCTCTCTCTCCCTCTCCCTTCGCCTCTGTAAAAAATCAATAAAACACATCCTCGGGTGAGGATAAAAAAGAAAGAAAGAAATATGTGTACATTTTAAGGTGAGGAAGATACTGCCACATTCCCCTCTAAAATGGTGTTCAAAATTATATTCCCATCAATAGTGGATATTTTCACATTAAAAAAAATGTAATTTTACCAGTCAGACAAGGTTTTCTTTAAATTCTGAGGAAGAATACAGTGTGGTATTTAGATGTAGCATTTTCCTATATCTTGTTTTTCCTTTACCATTTTCTAAAATCCTCACCAAACTGATTTCTTAATCCATGTGCTTGGAATGAGGAACAAATAGGACCTTGACTCACCCAGGTCTAAATCTTGTACCTAAAAATGAGGATCTTACCCAGATTTTGATGAATAGGATCTGGGCACACCTGAAACTCCTTTTCATTTTAAACTCCCCTTTGGAAGCCAATAAAAAAAGAAAAAAGAAAAAAAAAACAAAAACAACCAAAAAACCAAGGGAGTTAAAAAGCCTGATGAACAATATTAACTGTTGAATATAATAGAATCAGAGGTATGGAAGGGGAGTGGACTGATGATTCTCAGGGAAAAGAGGAGTGGGGGTGTGGGAAGAGACTGAACATAAACTGTGCACCTATGGATGAGGACAATGGAGGGTGGGGAAAGGGCAGAGGGTGGGGTAGGAACCTGGTGGAGGGGGAAAAATGAGGAACTTTTATAATAATATGAACAATAAAGATTTATTTAAAAAAAATCCTCACCAAAGGAGGTGATTTTATTGATTTTTCAAGAGAAAGAGGAAGGGGAAAAGAGATACACACACACACACACACACACACACACACACACACATATTGTTGTGAGAGAGAAACATTGATCGGTTGCCTTCCAGAGTCACCCCGACCAAGGATTGAACCTACAGCGCAGGTATGTGACTGGGAATAGAACCTACAGCCTTTCGGTGTACCAGACATGACTCCAACCAACTGAGCCCCCTCTTCCCTCCCTCCCACCCCCGGCCAGGGCTCCCTTACCATTTTTTTTTATTAAAAAATATATTTTATTCATTTTTTACAGAGAAGAGAAAGAGGGATAGAGAGTTAGAAACATCAATGAGAGAGAATCATCAATCAGCTGCCTCTCGCACATCCCCCACTGGGGATGTGCCCGCAACCAAGGTACATGCCCTTGACCGGAATCTAACCCGGGACCTTTGAGTCCGCAGGCCGATGCTCTATCCACTGAGCCAAACCGGTCTCGGCTCCCTTACCATTTTTAAAAAAAATTGATTTCAAAGAGGAAGGAAGAGGGAGAGAGAGATAGAAACATCAATGATGGGAGTCATTGACCAGCTGCCTCCTGCACGCCCCCTACTGGGGACTGAGCCCCAAACCCGGGCATGTGCCCTTGGCTGGAATCCATCCTGGGACCCTTCAGTCCACAGGTCGATGCTCTAGCCCCTGTGCCAAACCGGCTAAGGCTCCCTTGTCATTTTGGTTGTCAAAGGCAGAGGCAGGAACTCCTGGGAAGGCTTGCTTGGAGCTATTGGGAGAGGTTAGAATGACAGTGAAGCCTTCATCCTGTGAAAACTTTCAGGGTTGATGCCGGGACTGGTTCAATTGAGGGGTCCCAGGTTCGATTCCGGTCAAGGGCATGTACATTGGGGGGTGTGCAGGAGGCAACTGGTTGATGTCTCTCTCTCATCGATGTTTCTGGCTCTCTATCCCTCTCCCTTCCTCTCTGTAAAAAATCAATAAAATATATATTTTAAAAAAGAGTTGTTAGCTATGGTTGGCAGCTCTAACTAGGCTTTTTGCGATTTCAGTAAAGGGAGATGATGTACTTGGTTATAGAAACTCCTCTGAGCTCAGTGGGTCAGTAAGTAAAAGGGGTATTGATGGATGGCTCTGTAGTGTTGATGATGGGAAAAGATGGAGGAGGAGCGCCAGGAAGAAGGTAACTCTTGTTTATATAACCCTCCAGAAAAAATTCATGCATATACGTGTGAAGGCATATACACAGGTGGGATTTTAGCAGAAGGATTTGGAATTTGATTTATATTGGTGCTACTTAGCAGTTATGAAAACAGTATTCTGTTGTATTTAGCACGCCTACCTGTCCAAAGTATTTGCCAGGTGCTGTGGGAGATATCAAATAAATAAGACATGGGTCATGCCCTCAGAGGGCTTGTAGTCCACAGACGGACAAGGGCCAGGACAGAGAAACACGGAAGAGTGAACCAGGCGTAGTTAGGAGTCCTTTAGTTGCAAGAGATAGAAAACCCAATGCAGGCCGGCACCAGTTTGGCTCAGTGGATAGAATGTCGGCTTGCGGACTGAAGGGTCCCGGGTTCGATTTCGGTCAAGGGCATGTACCTTGGTTGCGGGCACATCCCCAGTGGGGAGTGTGCAAGAGGCAGCTGGGCGATGATTCTCCCTCATCGATGTTTCTAACTCTCTATCCCTCTCTCTTCCTCTCTGTGAAAAATCAATAAAATATATTAAAAAAGAAAAAGAAAAAAGAAAACCCAACGCAGATCAGCTTAGGGACTTAATTGGCTTCTGGCACGGCGGGAGTTAGGACTCAGATGGGTTCTGTCTATTGCTCCTGCCTGAGCTGGGCTCTGTTGGGCTGGTTCCCCTATTGGTGTGACAGCAGCACCCCTCACATCCCACCTGCTCCCAGAGCAGAGTAATCTTTTTGGGAAGGACTAGTAAACATGTCACTGCTTTTTATTGGCTCTGACCAAGCCATGTTGCCATCTCTGAACCAATCACTGTGGTCAGAGGGTGGAGCCTGGGGTTGGCACCAGCCAGATGCAAAGATCATTGGCCAACATTGGGGGATGGGTGTTTACAGTCAAAGCTGAATGGTGAATGCATACTGGCAGGCCCAAGAACTCACCAATGTTTCCACAAAGTGATAATAATAGATGTGAGCTGAGACGAGTTGCCAGTCTCTAGGCCCTGTGTCAGGATGCTGTAGACCAAACTGTAATTCTTTTTTTACATGTGTTTTTATTGATTTCAGAGAGGAAGGGAGAGGGAGAGTGAAAGAAACATCAATGATGAGAAAGAATCATTGATCAGCTGCCTTCTGCACGCCCCCACTGGGGACCGAGCCTGCAACCCAGGCATGTGCCCTTGACCGTAACTGAACCCGGGATTCTTTAGTCCACAAGCCGAAGCTCTAGCCACTGAGCCAGACCAGCTGGCTGAACTGTAATTCTTAAATTTGGATATTATGTGTATTTTGAGCCTTGAGGAAAGTAAGTGTAGTGCATCTGGGTCATCTCCTATCTTCTCCTTTTTTAAAAATATGCCGGGACCGGTTTGGCTCAGTGAATAGAGTGTCGGCCTGTGGACTGAAAGGTCCCGGGTTCGATTCCGGTCAAGGGCATGTACCTTGGTTGCGGGCACATCCCCAGTGGGGTGTGTGCAAGAGGCAGCTGGTTGATGTTTCTCTCTCATCGACGTTTCTAACTCTCTGTCCCTCTCAATTCCTCTCTGTGCAAAATCAATAAAATATATATAAAAATAAATAAATAAAAAGATGCTCTAGGGAAAAATATATATATTTTTATTGATTTCAGACAGAAACATCAATGATGAGAATCATTGATCAGCTGCCTCCTGCATGCCCCTTACTGGGGATCAAGCCTGCAACCCAGGCATGTGTCCTTGACAGGAATCGAACCCGGGACCCTTCAGTCCACAGGCCGATGCTCTATCCACTGAGCCAGATCAGCTAGAGCTCCTATTTTCTTTGAGTTTCAATTTCCTGATTGGAAAAATGGGGACAATATTGGTGTCTTGTCATGGAGTTTTAATAAAAATTTACTGAAAGAATCAAACACTATTTACTGTACCAACACACAATTGTTATTTTTTTTAGAAATTAACTCAGTTGGACAACCTCTTATTTCTGTAAGGTCCAAAGCAGTCCACATCATAAAGACACTACTGAACCAATGTTTGGGAAAGAATTTTTTTTCTTTTTAAATAGATTTTTATTGATTTCAGCGAAGAAGAGGGTGAGGGAGAGAGAGAGAGAGAAACATTAATGATGAGATAGAATAATTGATTGGTTGCCGAAACCAGTTTGGCTCTGTGGTAGAGCGTCGGTTTGCGACTGAAAGGTCCCAGGCTAGATTCCGGTCAAGGGCACGTACCTTGGTTGCGGGCACATCCCCAGTAGGGGGTGTGCAGGAGGCGGCTGATCGATGTTTCTCTCTCATCAATGTTTCTAGCTCTCTATCCCTCTCCCTTCCTCTCTGTGGAAAATCAATAAAAAAAAAATATATATATAAAAAGGATAATTGATTGGCTGTTTCCTGCATGCCCCACACTGGGGATTGAGCCCACAACGTAGGCATGTGCCGTGACTGGGAATTGACCCATGACTTCCTGGTTCATAAGTTAACGCTCAACCACTGAGCCACGCCAGCCGGCCAGGGAAACATTTTTTTAAATATTAAAAGTAAACATCTTATTTGTAAGGTTGAAATTTGTGAATCAACTTTTTAAAAATCTTGGCAGAGATACAGGCTACTCGGGAGCAGCAGCAGCTGGTGAAGACATGGAGGTGCAATCCTATTATGCCAAGCTCTTGGGGGAGTTGAATGAACAGCGAAAGCGGGACTTCTTCTGTGACTGTAGCATCATTGTGGAAGGGCGGATCTTCAAGGCCCACAGGAACATTCTGTTTGCCAACAGCGGCTACTTCCGAGCCCTGCTCATCCACTACATCCAGGACAGCGGGCGGCACAGCACCGCCTCCTTGGACATTGTCACCTCCGATGCCTTTTCCATCATCCTAGACTTCCTGTATTCGGGGAAGTTGGATTTGTGTGGGGAAAACGTGATCGAAGTTATGTCGGCCGCCAGCTACCTACAGATGAATGACGTGGTAAACTTCTGCAAGACGTACATCCGGTCGTCCTTTGATATCTGCCGAAAGATGGAGAAGGAGGCTGCGGTGGCTGCAGCGGTGGCAGCGGCAGCAGCTCATCAGGTGGACGGTGGGAGCCCCGGTTCAGGCACAGAGGGGGCCTCCTGTGACACCAAGAGCTTGGTCTCCTCTACAGCCAAGGAAGAAGAGTGTGTGGACTGTCCCAAGGAATCCCCTTGCGGCGACTGCCACCCCCTGGAACCGGTGGTGAAGGGCAGTGAGGGCAGCGGCTCAGCTGACAGTGACCTCTCTGCCCTGCCCAAGCAGATAGAGCCGAAGGTGGAGTTTGATGCTGACGAAGTGGAGCAGGTGGAGGTCGGCGAGCAGCTGCAGCATTACGCCGCTCCACTGAGCCTATCCCATGTGGAGGAGGGTTTGCCCAGTAGCCATCCCATGGACATGTCTTACGGCAACTACCACGTGAAGCAGTTCTTGGAGGCCCTCTTGCGCAACGGTGCGGTCCAGAGCAAAGACGATGCGGAGCATCATCACTTCTCTCGGAGTTTGGAGGGAAGATCAGATGGTATAGGAGGAGCCATGAGTTCCATGATGGATGTCCAGGCTGACTGGTATGGCGATGATTCAGGTGAGTCCCGTTAGCATGCATCATCTCTGCTGGTCATTTGGCACCCACATCTGTGCCTTAGAGTCTCCCATCATCACCGTCATCATTGTCATCACCATCATCATTACCACCATCATCATTACCACCCATCACTAATTGCCATCACCATCACTATCCCTGCTTTATCTCCACCACCATCATATCAATAGGTATTAATTGAGTAGGGCATTGTTTCTTCATGTATGCTAGTATTTTACCTCTCCAACTAGAACATAAGCATGTTGAGGGCAGTTTGAAGAAATGGAAAGAACCTTCTGTCTTCCATGAACCAGCAGTGGGACTTTGGTCAAATCATTAAATCTCTCTGAACTTGTTTGTTCAGGAGCTAATCATCCCTGTCTTGCCTTTTTCTCAGGGTTGAGGACCAATTGAGACGGTTTCATAAATTTTTCCTCACATATAATAGAAAATTTATTCTTTGTGTCAACCATGGTGCCTGCCGCATTACAGACATTCATAACATGTCATGGTTGATGGTATGATGTATTTGATAATATTTTAGAGTTGGCATTTGGCTTCATGTGGGTAAGTTTCTGTTTTTCTTTTTTGTTTGTTTTTTGTTTTTTTGATTTTTTTTACAGAGAGAAAGAGAGAGAGAGAGAGTCAGAAACATCGATGAGAGAGAGTCATCGATCAGCTGCCTCTTGCGCACCACCCACTTGGGATGTGCCCGCAACCAAGGTACATGCCCTTGACCGGAATCGAACCTGGGACCTTTCAGTCCGCAGGCCGACACTCTATCCACTGAGCCAAACCGGTTTTGGCTTTTTTTTTTTTTTTTTTTTTTTTTTTTAATATATTTTTATTGATTTCAGAGAGGAAGGGAGAGGGAGAGAGAGAAACATCGATATGAGAATGCAACATCAATCAGCGGCCTCTACCATGGATTGAGCCTGAAACTCAGGCATGTGCCCTTAACCAGCAATCAAACTGGCAACCTCCCAGTGCACAGGACTATGCCCAGCCAACTGAGCCACACATCATGGCTGGCACATATATTCTTTATTGAATTTTTTTAGTATTTTTTAAGAGGCAAACAACCAGATGAGTAGGCTACAGTGAAGAAATCTCATTATTATTATTTTAAAAATATTTATTTTTATTGATTTTAGAGAGGAAGGGAGGGGGGAAGAGATAGATAGGAAATCAACAATGAGAGAGAATCATTGATTGTCTGCCTCCTGCATGCCCCCTACTGCGGATGGAGCCCTGATCAGAATCAAACAGTGACCTCTTAGTTCATAGGTTGAAATTCAACCACTGAGCAACACTGGGCCAGGGAAGAAATCTAATTTTTATAAGAGAGTTAAGCCACTAAGATACTTCTAGGTATTATCTCAGTGATGCTTCTTATCTTTATTCTGGGATTCCAGGTAATATTCAGCCCCTACAGCTACCACAAATGCAGAAAATCCCCATTTAAATCCTTTTACTAATGAACTAACAAAGGAAGCATTGCTTGCTAAGCCACTCATATATCTCCAAGCTTCACTGCAGTCCCCATAACCCTCATACAGCCAGCTTTTCCTGTATAGTTATTCATGGTAACCCTTCTGTCTTCCATTGTTTATCATCTGGAAGTTCCATTTTTCTATGACCATGTCTGACAGCAATCTAACCTCTCAGGACATCCAATATGTAATTCTTCATGTGAATAAATTTCTTACTTACTTTTTTAGGTTTTTTGTTTTAAGAGAACTTGATTGTGTTCCTGAACAATTCTGAAAGGTGACTTAGCTCTTCATAATAGTGAGCTAATTGTGTTGTAAAATGTCTCATAGGAGATACTAATACACTTGGCTGTCACCTTCCTGATAAAAGTACGCTGTAGCTTCTAGAACCTGAAGCCAAGAAATTAATGAATCAAAATTCTTATACACGCTTCAACATGGAACAGTGAAAGTATTTTATTTATTTATTTATTTATTTTTAAAATATATTTTTATAGATTTTTTAGAGAAAGGAAGGGAGAGGGATAGAGAGCTAGAAACATTGATGAGAGAGAAACATTGACCGGCTGCCTCCTGCTCATCCCCTACTGGGGATGTGCCCGCAGCCAATGTACATGCCCTTGACCGGAATTGAACCTGGGACCTTCCAGTCCGCAGGCCGACGGTCTATCCACTGAGTCAAACCGGTTTCGGCAGTAAAAGTATTTTAAATAAGGAAGAACAGCTGCTTTTATTTGTTACTAGTGAGCTATCATTAGATTTTTTTAATTTCATTTTTTAAAATATTTATATTTTTATTGATTTCAGAGAGGAAGGAAGAGAGAAACATCCATGATGAGAGAGAATCGTGCATTGGTTGCCTCCTGCACACACCTTATTGGGGATGGAGCCCATAACCTGGCATGCACCCTGACCGGGAATCAAACCCAGGACCTCCTGGTTCATAGGCCAGTGCTCAACCTCTGAGCCACACAAGCCAGGCTAATTTCATTTTTTTGAAGCAAGAACACTGTGTGTGTCTGATTAAAATTAGACTTGAAAAACTTAAAAATGCTGTTTCGGGTTCTCAGAGACACTGTCTTAACCAACATTTAGCATGTAGCAGCTGCTTTCACGGAACTCACTATGGGAACTTGTTGAAATCTCATTTCCGTGTACATAATAGCACTTCACAGATTGTAATCACTCTTTAACGTTCATTGGACCTTCCTCATGGCCATGAGTTTGGCAAAGGACGTTAATGAATGTGTAGAGAAACTGAGACTCAGAGGGTTAGTGAGTTTCCTGAGATCGCAGGGCAGGTAAGTGGCACAGCTAAAGCCACAGACCAGGGCTGGCTTCACGTCACTCATTAAACAAACTGAAGGCAGCTCAAGTGGATAGAGGATTTCAGTGCAGTGATTTTTAAAAATATATATATTTTATTGATTTTTTACAGAGAGAAAGGGAGAGAGCTAGAGAGCTAGAAACGTCGATGAGAGAGAAACATCGACCAGCTGCCTCCTGCACACCCCCCACTGGGGATGTGCCTGCAACCAATGCACATGCCTTTGACTGGAATCGAACCTGGGACCTTTCAGTCCGCAGACCGACGCTGTACCCCTGAGCCAAACCGGCTTCGGCCAGTGCAGTGATTTTGTCTTTCAACACCCCTGCCTGTATGTACAGGTTTCAAAAAGTAGTTCAGCTGTACACCAGCCATCTTCGTTCAAGTCCTATTAGCCTATAAAGTCAGGTTTTCAACTACAGGGTGTTGTGGCAAGACAGCCACCCTGGCCCCCGGCCATACCTGTTGTCTGCCAGGTTTTTATTCCACTCACACAACTCCAGGCTGAACTTATTCTAAGTGCCAAGGCAAAGAGTAGGACTGATTTGTTTGGTGATTCATTAAAAAAAAAAATTTTTTTTTAAATTGATTTCAAAGAGGAAGGAGGAGTGAGAGTGAGAGACATCAGTGATGCGAGAGAATCATTGATAGGCTGCCTTCTGTATGCCCCACCCTGGGGATTGAGCCCACAACCCAGGCTGTGCCCTGACCGGGAATTGAACCATGACCTCCTGTTTCATAGGTTGACACCCAAGCACTGAGCCACGCAAGCCGGTCTGGTCATTCATTTATTTGCTCAAATATTTGAGTAGCTTCTTGATGAAGCTACAAAGATAAGTCAGACATGAATCCAGCTTTTAAAGAACTCAGAGGAGGTAAGACGTGTGTAATCACATGATCTAAAGGTAGTAGAGCTGGAAGACAAATGGCAGTGTGAGTTTCCTAACTGTCCAAAAGCTGGAGAACTGGCTTCCTGCTTGGCGATGAGGGAGGCTTTATGAATGTGGCATCTGAGGATGAAAGAGACATAGAAAAAAATCGACTAGAGTTGGATTATGGAAAATCTGTTTTTTAAAAAAATATATTTTATTGATTTTTTTACAGAGAGGAAGGGAGAGGGATAGGGAGCCAGAAACATGGGTGAGAGAGAAACATCGACCAGCTGCCTCCTGCACACCCCCTACTGGGGATGTGCCCGCAACCAATGTACATGCCCCTGACCGGAATCGAACCTGGGACCTTTCGGTCCGCAGACCGACACTCTACCCACTGAGCCAAACCAGTTTCGGCAGAAAATCTTTTTCCCCCCCCAATATTATTATTTTATTTCATTTTCATATACAAAAAAGATAAAACTTGAAATAGTTCTAGATTTTTCCTCCTATTTTTTTTGGGTGTGGCTGCTGCTTCACACGTGGCGGGTGGAAAATCTTGAATGCTAAGAGATGAGGTTTTTATCTGTAGGCACAGGGGAGATTTTCCATAGTTTCTGAGCTTGTGCAGAGATGTGCTTTTGGGAGCTTAATTTGGCCTCAGCACATGTTGGTATATAGCTGGGAGACCAGGACAAGGAGATGGTCAATAGTTCTATATCCATGTTGCTCATCCCAGCATTCGCAGATACTGTCAAAGCATTATGTCCTGCTATGATCAATAAAAATATATTTTAAGAAAGCCTTGGGGCCCTGACTGGTTTTTGAGGCCAAAGAAGAGACAGTCGTCTGGAACTGACCGTGAAGCACAATTCTGAGGTGTGGGCTATGGGTTAAGAAGTAGAGTGCTCAAGAGAGAGGCAGGGCTCAGGTAAAGCAACCACTCCAGTCTGCTGCCTCTCAAGACCATGTTCTTCCCTTCTCTCCCTAAGCTCCAGGTATATCTACCCCCACAGGCTAGAGGGAACAAGTCTTGGGATGCTGCAGTAAGGGTAACTCCTGTAACTTGAAAGGAACATTTCTATACATGTGTCACCTTAATGGTTGTATGAGCAAGGTAAACAAACAAACAAAAAGTTAGAAAGAAATTTAAGTGAATTCCTGGATATTTGATGATTTCAGATATAGAGAGTTAATGTGAATTCCAACAATTTAAGTCTGCATCATAGCAAACCTCCTCTGTACATGCCTGGAAGCTCTTCTGAGGAGCTATGGTCAAAACGTGAATCCTAGTCCAGAGGTCCAATCCACCTTCATGATCTGCGCTGGTGTCATTCTGCAGCCCCAGATCCCACCCGTCGGAGGCGTGGCCAGTGTTGTTGCTGCTGACAGTACAGCTAAATTAATCTGTTTGGTTTCCTAGGCGACGTGCTGGTGGTCCCCATCAAGCTCCACAGATGTCCTTTCTGCCCTTACACGGCCAAACAGAAGGGCATCTTGAAGCGGCACATCCGCTCACACACGGGCGAGCGGCCCTACCCCTGTGAGATCTGTGGCAAGCGATTCACTCGACAGGAGCACCTGCGGAGCCATGCCCTGAGCGTAAGTGAGCTGGCAGATCTTTTGTGGTGTGTGTGTGGGTGGCTCCTGACATTTGTCCAGCATAGCAATTTTTAACCAGTGTGCCGCAAGAGGCACAGAGGTGTGCTGCAAGAATTTTTAAAACATGCAGTGCCTGACTGTGTAGTCAGGGGCACTGACCTCTTTCCCTTAGATTGTCAAATGAAAAACTGACAGCAGCCAATGCAACAATAGTTGTCCCGTGTGAGTGAATCAAAAGTATGCCTATATTTTTGTCAGATCGGCAAATCAAAGCCATAGTGAAATGCCACTTTATACCCACTCGGATGACTAGCATCAGAAAATGGATAATAGCAAAGTGTTGGCAAAGATGTGGAGAAACTGGAAACTTTATACATTGCTGGTGGGAATGTAACATGGTGCAGCCATTTGGTGGTTCCTCAAAAAGTTAAGCATAAAGTTACTATAGGAATCAACGTTTCTAATTTTAGATATATAACCAAGAGAACTGAACGCACATTCACACAAAAACTTGCACACAAATGTTCATAGCAACATTATTCATAATAGTAAACAAGTAGAAACAGCCAAATGTCCATCAACGGATGGATGAACAAGCAAAAGGTGTATCTATACAATGGAATGTTACTCAGCCATAAAATGGAATGGAGTTCTGATTCACATTACAACATCGATGAACCTTGAAAACATGCGAAGTGAAAGAAGCCAGTCACAAAGAACCACATACTGTATGATTCCATTAAAAAAAAATTTTTTTTAAATATTTTTATTGAGCCGAAGCCGGTTTGGCTCAGTAGTAGAGCGTCTGTCTGCGGACTGAGGGGTCCTGGGTTCGATTCCGGTCAAGGGCATGTACATTGGTTGCGGGCATATCCCCGGTGGAGGGTGTGCAAGAGGCGGCTGGTCGATGTTTCTCTCTCATTGGCGTTTCTGGCTCTCTGTCTCTCTCCCTTCCTCCTCTCCGTGAAATATCAATAAAATATATTTAAAAATATATATTTTTATTGAGTTGAGAAAGGAAAAGAGAGAGAGAGAGAGAGAGAAATATCAATGATGAGAGAGAATCATTGATCAACTGCCTCCTGCACATCCCCTGCTGGGGTGGAAATGGAGCCCACAACCTCGGCATGTGCCCTTGGCTGGAATCGAGCCCAGGAATCAAACCTGGGACCCTTTAGTCCACAGGCTGATGCTCTATCCACTGAGCCAAACCAGCCAGGACTGTATGATTCCATTTATATGAAATGTACAAGATGGAAAGTCTCACGGAGATAGAGAATAGATTCGGGGTTGCCAGAGGGTGGGCAGGTGGGAATGGGAAAGCTGTGACCATTACAGGCCAGGGGTGATGAAAATGTGGAATTAGATGGTTGCACAGTCTTGTGACTATTAAAAACCACTGCATTGCACACTTTTAAGAGGAAAACTTTATGGTATGAATTATGGTTCTGAAAGAATCCAGCCCTAACTGGTTTGGCTCAGAGGATAGAGGTCGGCTTGCAGACTGAAAGGTCCTAGGTTCGATTCCGGTCAAGGGCATGCACCTTGGTTGCAGGCATATCCCCAGTAGGAAGTGTGCAGGAGGCAGTTGATTGATGATTCTGTCTATCCCTTTCCCTTCCTCTCTGTAAAAAAAATCAATAATATATTAAAAAAACAAAAAAGCCCTAACCGGTTTGGCTCAGCGGATAGATTGTCAGCCTGTGGACTGAAAGGTCCCAGATTCGATTCCGGTCAAGGGCATGTACTTTGGTTGCGGGCACATCCCCAGTAGGGAGTATGCAGGAGGTAGCTGATCGATGTTTCTAACTCTATCTCTTTCCCTTCCTCTCGATAAAAAAAAAAAAAATCAATAAAATATGTTTTTAAAAAAAATCCAGATTGAAGTTAAGTGCAAGGTTACTGCCTTTGCTGTGAGTACTGGCCCCAGCAAGCTTGTGTGAGAATGGCCTTCTCCCAAGGACTTACGTTTTTGTTTGTTTATCTCCCCCGCCCTACCCCCCACCCCGGCTCTTTCCCTCGCCGCTCCTCCCAGTTTATATCTACAGTCTCTCTTGGCAGCAATAGGCCCCTGGATGCTTCTAAGATGTTTTATTGATTGGAATCCTCATTTCCTCTCTTTTCCCACATTATATAAGCCCTGGCAGTTTGGAAGGTTATAAGACACACTCAGGTTGGCTCAAGTGCGGGGGTTTCGCATAGGAAGCCCAGGAAACCTAATGGGAACCAGGGACATCGGTCAATGTAATGGCATCTCCAGCAACCTGGGGGTCATGCTTTTGGCCCTTCCTCTGCACCAGCCTCTTTTCCTCTGCTGCTTGCATACACCCCACATCCATAGCTCTCCAAAAGAGAGGCTCCGATTGGTTCCCAGGGCCCTTTTGGCCGGAGTTCCTGAAGAGTGCGCACATTTGAAAGATAGTTCCTTACACGGGGGGTCCCTGGGGCTGTGTGGGGTAGGAAATATAAAAGGCACGGGAAGCCTTGGGGAATAGACTGTCTGGGGAATACACTGTCTAGCAAATCTGCCTCCCTAATAACTAAACAGCCCATGGTACATAGAAGCCAGGCCTAAAACCCTGACCAGCTCACCGAGTGCCCTTAATATGCCTGGCCCTGGGAATATGGTACCACGTGTGACAGAGGACAACCAGCTTGGAACTTACAGTTGAGTAAGCTTTACCAAGGATTTGTTAAAAGTACAGTAGTCTCCTCTTATCCACCATCTAGCTTTCCACAGTTTCAGGTTCCTGTGGTCAACTGTGATCTGCAAATACTAAATGGAAAATTCCATAAATAAATAGTTCGTAAGTTTTAAATTGCATGATGCTTTTCGAGTAGTGTGATGAAATCTCTCGCACCGCGCTCCATTCATCCCAGGATGTGAACCATCCCTTCGATGGTGTCTCTGCACTGTACTAGTATATGCTTCCTGCTCATTCATCAGTCACTTAGTAGCTGTCTTGGTTATCAGGCTTGTTGTGGTATCTCAGTGCTTATGCACATGTAACCCTTCTACTTCATAATGGCCCCAGAACACAAGACTAGCATGCTGGCAATTTGGATATGCCAAACAAAAGCCATAAGAGCTTCCTTTAAGTGAACAGGTATGTGTGTACTGGACAAAACATAGTCTATTTAGGATTTGGTACGATCTGTGGTTTTAGGCATCCACTGAGGATCTGGGGACATATCCCCCCCAGATAATCAAGGAAGAAGCATAGGTGAGACTATAGAGCTGGGAGGATGGGGGGCTAACCTGGCCTGGAGCATCAGAGACGATTTCTTTGAAAGGACCTTGGTGAGGCTGAGAGTATGGCAGATGGAATAAGGGAAGAGTGGAGAGAAATGAGGTTGGAGGGTCAACCAGGGCCCACATCCCATGGGGTCACGACTCAACCCCTTTTCTGTGACATTAACTGTATCTACTTGTGGTTTCAGGTCCACAGATCCAACTGTCCAATCATCTGCAAGGGCTGCAGAAGAACCTTCTCGAATCACATGTCGCAGGGGCTGAGGCGCTTTGGGCTGTGTGACAGCTGCACCTGCGTGGCAGACACACATGACGACGAGTACAGTTTGATGCCCATCAACCTCAGCCTGGTGGAGGCGTCCTCGGAAAGCCAAGAAAAGAGTGACACAGACAATGATTGGCCCATCTACGTGGAGTCCGGTGAGGAAAACGACCCTGCCGGAGACGACTCTGACGACAGACCGCAGATCCAGCCCAGCCTGACAGACCGAGAGACACTCATGTAGCAGCAGATTGGCGGGGAGAGGTTTTGGGATTTGTCGTTGCTCTTTCTGTGGTTGAAAGACACCATTTGTTCGGTTTTGTGGAACCCTGAGATGAACATTTTTTTTCCGTGTCAATATATTTGCATTTTCGTTAGATGACCTAGTAGAGGTTGGATCTTGTGACTCAAAGGACTAATGAGTTTGTAGTTTGGTGCCCTTGATCTCTGAGGGCTTTGCTGACCTTTCCTCAATTCTGAGTGAGTCCAGGCTGGCCCTCAGGCGTCCCGTTTTTCCTGTTGTGCACCTGAACTGTGATTAGGAGAAAGATAAGAAACCCCCATGCTTGTTCTCATAGTGTCTCCATCTCTGCATTCCTTCGTGGTCATCCTCTTTTCCCCAAAAAGGCGGGCAAGGATGTATTAAGTTTTGAGAAAAATTTTACCTCTGCCAAGCCTCTCCTTAATGAATTCCATATTCTAATTTTCCGAAGTATTTAAGAGAAAGCTTTATTGTGCAGGGCAGGCAGGACTGCCTTCTACATGATTGTAAAAGCTACTTCCTAAATCTAAGGCTGCCACTGTCAAAGCTGGGGATGTCTGTGTGCATGTAAGCATGGAAATAAGCTCAAAGCCTTCTTCTGGCACTTTGGCTTGCCCAGGTGGATTAAATGTTCAGTTTGTCCCGAGGAGGGACCCTGTGAGCTCAGGTCTGGATGGTTTCCCTGCTTAGTTTGGCGTCTGACAATTCTCTACACGCATATCACCTAAAACAAATCATCTGAGCAAAACTAAACATTCTCCCCTGCTTTTCCGAGCCATTTCCGGAGGCTGCACTGCTGGGGCTGTAGCTACCACTGACATTCTTTCACTGAGTTTGTGAATGGAACTTTAATTGGAGGGAAAGTGTAAGCCCATCTAACCAAGTTATATTTCCAAAGTGCTTCCCTTTTAAAAGACCCACTGGAAGGAAAGAGAAGCTTGTGGAAGTACAGGATTTTAAACCAGTCTGCTTTTCTCCACTGAGCAGCCATACATTATTCTAACAAAAGGCTGTACTTCTTTAAAGGGCTAGCGAGCAGGAAATATTAGGGATGTAAAATATTTAAGGCACTTTCATAATTCTGTCTTATGTTAAGGGATCCAAAATGGATTTTCAAAGAAATCCCTAATGAAGCGAAGTATGCAAACAAAACACTTTCCTTTGAACTTGGAAAAAAATAAAAGAAATCCCTTTTTCTTCCTTGAATTTAGGATAGTTATGTTTCAAAAGGTAGTAAAATCACTTTTTTTCTGTCTCTTAAACAAAAAGATCATCAAAACATCATAAATTGGCTTGTAAATGCTAGTCATTGAAGAGTTCAAAGGTATTTGAACTCCTCGGTAGAAGTTAAAGTTTAGCTCATATGACTCAAACTGTGGTCCTCACACAGTGCTGGTCTGAGTTGTTTGATACCAGTCCGCACAGCAGGACCACGTATTGGTCTGCAGTAGATTGGAAATTTAAAAAGTGATCTTGTGCCCTGGCCAGTGTGGCTCAGTGATTCGAGAATCAGAATGGGTGTGCCTGTATTCCAATAAAACTTTACTTGCAAAAAATAGGCAGTAAGCAGGATTTGGCCCAACCTATTTTAGATAGTACTTTTATTTTTTTCTTAATAAATAATGTTAATGAAAGTGTAGTTAGTGTTTAGTGTTAGCAGTTCTATATTATTATAGGTAATCTTTTTAAAATCTGTAGGCTATAGCCCAGCCAGACTGGCTCAGTGGTTGGGTGTCAGCCTATGAACCAGGAAGTCGCAGTTTGACTCCCAGGCAGTTTGATGCCCAGTCAGGGCACGGGCCTGGGCTGTGGGCTCCTAAGGGCTCTTGTGGGCTCGTCCCCGGTGTGGGGCATGTGGGAGGCAGCCCATTGATGGTTCTCTCTCATCATTGATGTTTCTGTTTCTTGCTCCCTTTCCCTCTCGGAAATAAATAAAAATATATTTTTTAAAAATCTATAGGATATAGCCCTAGCTGGCATGCCTCAGTGGTTAGAGCATCAGCCTAGGCAAAGAAGGGTCTCGGGTTCGATTTCCAGTCAAAGGCATGTACCTGGGTTGCAGGTTCGCTTCCTGCCCCAGGTTGGGAGCCTGCGGGAGGCAACCAGCCTATGTATCTCTTTTACATTGATGTTACTCTCCCTCCCTCCCTTCCTCCCTCTTTCCCTCCCTTTCACTCTCTCTGAAAAGCAATGGAAAAAATATCCTCGGGAGAGGATTAACAGAAAAAGAAAGAAAACATGGTCTTTTCCCACAGATAGTTTCAAAATTATTCTAAATCAACAGGTGCAAATTGAAACTTCTTTAGGACCAGACACATTTTTCTTAAACCTATAATAAAATGAAAATATTAGCTGTTGTTCAAATAGAGGGATCTTAGCGAAAGGCAAACCTCAGTGGATGTGTAGAAGCTCTACTTTGCAAGGAGTTATGTTTGATTGCTTTTCTCTCTGTTTAAAGTATTTTTGATATTTTAAAAGACTTTCTACCTCACAATTTCACTTCTCTGCCTAGTTTCTCTGGTAGAGCAAGGAGCCTCTTCAGTGACCCCATGACCTATTCATATTACTGGGTGCAAAGTAAGAAAATTTACATTAGAGATTTCATTGTAAGACAGTGATTCTCAGCTGGGGGTGATTTTGCCACCCAGAGGAGATTTGGCCATGTCTGGAGACATTCTTAAATTGTTACAACTGGGGCAGGGAGCTGCTGGCATCTAGTGAGTAGAAGAAAGGATGCTGCTAAACATCCTATAACTTATAGGATGGTCTCTGACAATAAAGAATTATCTAGCTCAACATGTTAAGAGTTCAAGGTTAAGAAACCCCACTAAAAAGTAAGATTTTAAAAAAATGACTTTGAATGAGTGAACTTAATTTTGTGTTATATTTTAAGCTACGCTACCTTTTACCTTCTTAATATAAATGGACTCTTTCCTGGCCGGTGTGGCTCAGTAGGTTGGAACATTGTCCTGTACACTGAAAGGTCACGGGTTCGATTGCCCGTTAGGGCACATACCCAGCTTGTGGGTTCAGTCCCCTGTCAGGGTGTGTGGGGGATGCAACCGATTGAGGTTTCTCCCTCTCTTTCCTTTCTCTCGCTAAGAATCAATAAAAACATGTCTTATTGATTTTTTTAACTTAAAAAATATTAATAAACCCTTATGCTCCCACAAGTTTTGGAAAATAGCGGATTAGCAAAATGTGGAGTGGAGGCCAAATTATTGCCCATAACCTGATGATATGGAAACTTAGAAATTCTGACTGAGATTCATACCTCCAGAATTACTCTAGGCTTTTATCATTTTATTAAATTTTTAAGTAGCAGAATCACTGGAAGGAAAACAGATCGTGAAGCTTAATATTTAAGTGACTCACTTTTTCCATAATATTTTATTTTTTTATTTTTAAAAAAATATATTTTATTGATTTTTTTACAGAGAGGAAGGGATAGAGATAGAGAGCTAGAAACGTCGATGAGAGAGAAACATCGACCAGCTGCCTCTTGCACACCCCCTACCGGGGATGTGCCCGCAACCAACGTACATGCCCCTGACCGGAATCGAACCTGGGACCTTCCAGTCCACAGACCAACGCTCTACCACTGAGCCAAACCGGTTTCGGCTCCATAATATTTTAGATTGTTGCATTCCTGTTTGGCTGTCTAGAGTTTGTGTTGACACTCATAGTAACTAAGATCACTGAATTCTGTCACTTTTAAAGGAGATCTTTGTCTGGACTGCCAGATCACAAACTGTCCTGTTTTAAATTTATGTTCACATTTGGTGATCAGTATTTATAATCTGCACAGTGTCCTTGAGGTGTAATTTGTGTTATTGGTGATAGTTTTATAATAAGTATATTCCCAGTTGGGTCCAACACAGACTGTAATTTAGGCTGTATTCTGACATCTTTCTGCCCAAGTTCACAAAGGATACTTTATCCTCTAGCAGATATATTGCATGAATGGGGACCGGATTTTTACTTGGAATGAAATTTACAAATGGCCTCCTTGGAAAGTTTTTCTCTCGGGGGGGAAGGGGTCAGGCTTTCATAGCAAGGGTTGGGGAGGAATGTAAAAAGACCTATAATTGTAATAAATTAAGAAATGACACAGAGCATCATGACTTCTGGTCGTTTGGCAGAAAGATGCCATTCCGGTGTAAATATTTTGGTAGCCGTTAGACTTTGAATATTCCTTAAGAAAATGACTGACCCTCGTGGGCTGCAGAATGCTGTGGCACAGAGTATTCTGGTGGTTCAGAATGCTGTGATGGTTTTTTGTTATTGTTGTTAATTGATGTTGCGACGAACCCCATAGAAAGGCAACAGGTGGGGTTCCGTGTGCCGATTCTTAGGACACTGGGGGAGACTGGAGACTGATCCACAGTTTCCCTTGGAGTTCTAGGTTGTTGTTGTGTGTCCCTTGTGCATTGACAATGGAGTTATCTCTGTGAGGGGCAGCGGGTTGGGTGGGTGAAAAATCATATTATACTCTGTTTTGAGTATTACCACTGTACTTCCTGGTGTTGGTCTTTTATAGCTTGTCTTGTGCTTTCGCGTGATCTCACTATCTTCTAACCCAAAAAAAGGAGCACTTTATTCAGTTGCTTCTAAAGGGCAGTGTTTTCATTCATTTTTACTCAGTATTTCCACATCCCATATTACTGTGTTCCTCACACCTGTCATTATAGTGCTGAACATTTGAATTCTTTTCTTCAAATAATGCTTCTGTAGAGATACATGGGGGGGGGGGGAGATGGCAGGAATAGTTGGGTTGGTTTCTAACATGTCCTAATTTTAAATCACGCTGTTGTGATCACATGATAGAGAACCATCGTAAGTGAAGGAGGACCTTTAGCAGAAGTAGACTCTCCAGATAGATGATTTTACTACTGCCAATCCTTCATTGACAACTGTGATCTTTGGGAGCGATTTTTATGTTCATCACTTGAGTTTGAACAAGGAGACGACCCACATTGGGCAAGAATGGGAGTTATCCTGTCTAAAAAGCCTCTTGTCTCACGGGGCAAGTATCTTTTCTAACAACTCCACAGTCATAGCTTCTGGTGCCCCGAAAGAGACATGTTTATTCCAAGAGTCACTGTGCTTAGGGAAGCCCAGGGCTGTGGCTTCCTATCAGGTACTTACAGTCCTCCCAGTCTGAATGCAATTTACCAGTTGGGGGTCATTTCTACCATAGGTTACGTTCCTAGCAATAGAGTTGACATACTACTCTTTGGTAGATTGTCAGGGGAACAGAGCTAGGAAGTTAACCAGAGGTCAAATTCTCACACCGAAGGAGAAAAGGTTCTGTTAATCCTTTACCAAACAGTATGTTAAGCAATTGCACACTAGATAGTCCATCTAGTTCCTATAAAATATAACCAGGGGAATTTCCTATTAAAATAGAGCCAACACCGCCCTGCTGGCATGGCCAGTGGCTGAGCATTGACCTATGAACCAGGAGGTCACGGTTCCATTCCTAATCTGGGCACTTGCCCGGGTTTCGGGCTCGATGCCCAGTGTGGGGCGTGCAGGAGGCAGCCCATCAATGATTCTCTGTCATCATTGATGTTTCTATTGCCCTTTCCCTTCCTCTCTGAAATCAATAAAAATATAAAAACAAAGTATAGCCAACACCAACTAACTCTTCCTCTCTTGAAGAGAGTTTATTCTATGTGCTTAGCTGCTTGTGATTAATACACTGTTTGCAAATTTTTGCTGAGATATGTGTAAGAGTTAATAGTAAGAATAAATAGTCAAAACGTTCCTGTCAAAATGTCATGTATCCTTTGGTGCTACGCCTAGGAGGCAGGTGTAATGTGGCATAATAAAGGGGCATTGAATGGAAATTTCTGGGGATCCCATCAGTCACACTTCGAGGAGAACCGATGTCCTCCTCGCAGCCACCCAACACTGGGCCCTTTTTAATGGTGCCTCTTACTATTATGTCATGTGGCGCTACTTCTGCCTGCTTCTGTTGCTCCTTGACAGATAGATACGGGAGGATAGTAGGTTATTTATCCACCAGTTATACAACTATCTATGTAGTCCTTCCTATGGGTCAGGTACTAGGGCACATCAATAAACAAGCAAAATCTCTGCCCCCAAACCACTTGCAGTGAGCAATCAGGAAGACTAGCAATTAACACGGTTTTGGGCGTGACAGGAGGGGCAAGGACAGGGTGCCCGGGAGTGTTGGGGTACAGCGCCAAGCCCAGTTTTAGGGCCTCGGAGACTTTCTTACCTAAGCTGCTGCTATTGTATCTTCCCCGTCCAGGAAGCTTCTAGCTTTGGGATACAAGTTATAAACCATTTAAACAGTGGTTTTGAACATTAGCAGTGTCTAAGTTACTTGTTTCATTTGGGTATGTCAAATTACTGTAAACACTTTAGAATATCCCAGTCTTTAGGGAAAATGCATCAGATGCTATGGTTTTCTTATTAAGAAGAAATCAGCAGCAGCAGCAGATAACGGTGCACTATGTAAGCCAATGCAATAAGATAGAACACAGGCGTTGTTCCTGTGACGGGCATGGAGGAATCCCACTGCATCTGGATGGAGTCCTGACTGGCCAGGTAAACTAGTTAATAGCCAGAAACCAGGATAGACACAGGACAGGGCCATTGAATGAAGGATGGAGAAATAGAAGGGACATTAGAGATAGTAGTCCAATTCCATTTTACAGAGATGAAATGCCTGGTTCCTAGTTCCCACACCTCTCGCTGGGATCAGACACCAGGTCCTGCCAGGCCAGTGCTGTTAACAAACATGTTTGGACACGCAGCAGAGCGCATCTGTGGACAGCTTTTGCTTCCTTGGGATGCCCATCAGACTGAAACCAGAGAAAAGGAAGGAAAATGCTGTTTTAGCCTTATGCAGCTCTGTGAGCATGGCCCGCATTCTTGTAGTGCTTAGACAGGAAGGGGGCAGTCACATGTGAACAGGAGGGAGTTCATCTAATTTCTCTGCCAATAATATCCACACATATTAGAAGCAATATAAACCACCATCACACACACACACACACACACACACACAGCATATCAAAATCTTTATTGTCTACTTATTTAGTAAATAGCGTGTATTTGATTTTCATGTATTCATTTTATAAAAACTTTCCAAATAAAAAAATGCACATTATTTTGAAATTACTTTTGCCAACCTCTATACCTGATTTTTTTAAAATATATTTTATTGATTTTTCACAGAGAGGAAGAGAGAGGGATAGAGAGTTAGAAACATCGATGAGAGAAAATCATTGATCAGCTGCCTCTTGCACACCCCCTACTGGGGATGTGCCCGCAACCAAGGTACATGCCCTTGCCCAGAATCGAACCCAGGACCTTTCAGTCCGCAGGCCGACGCTCTATCCACTGAGCCAAACCAGTCCCGGCATATACCTGATTTTTGAAATACAAATGGGGCATGATTCAGGAAAGTTGACAAGGACATTCTTTTTTTTTTTTCTTTTTTTTTTTAATATATTTTATTGATTTTCCACAGAGTGGAAGGGACAGGGATAGAGAGCTAGAAAGGTCGATGAAGAGAGAAATATCGACCAGCTGCCTCCTGCACAC